AGGAACCCCCCCCCCCCTCTCTTTCACTTTCTCTCTCGGGAGTTTTCGCGATAACAGCGAAATTATTGATAAGCCAAGCGCAGTTAGAGAGAAGTTTGGATCTCGGTGCGTGCCGTATCGCGGTTTTCAATGAAAATGGTAATAAGCTGACCCAAGTCAGACATTGCCGGCGTCAGGGCAATAGAGCGCCGCGTCGGACACGCAAACTCGTGAAATCCCTTTAGTCACGGAATCCGCGACCCTTCGATCCGCACCCTCTACCCTCACTGCCTTCCCACCGTTCTTTTTCGACCGGCGTAATTCCATGCACGTAATTCCATCCACCTTTGGAATGGCGCCTTTATAGAGACGACGCGAGTCGAAAGAGCCTCGTGAAACGTTCACGGAACCATTAAGGTACATCGTTCGCGGGATCATCGTAGCCCGGAAAGCCATTGGCAATTTTTTGCTTGCGTCTCCCTCATTTTTTTCTTGCGTGCATGTGTTTGTATTCGCGTATAGAGAAGGTTGAGGGACGCGAAAAATCACCATGTGGGATCGATAAACGTAAAAGTTTAAAATCGGTCTGCAGGACTGGCTGGATGGAAGAGTGAGTGGACGTCGTAATACTGTTAAACACCGTGGATTGCAAATTGGGTAGTAAATTTTGTTTTAGGGGTTTGGTTAAATATAGAGAATTTGATAGTGACAATAGCGCCGTTGTAATTAAGAAAATTTCTGAAGAAAGGGCTGATGTGAATGAGTAGAGTAGCTCTAAAAAATATTTGCGTAACTTTATTTTCTAATGAAGTATTTCTTTATTATTATTATTGCTATTGTATGATACTTACTGAATTACTTAATTTCTACCCCAAACCACACATTGTATTTATAGTAGAGTTGCCGTAGAATTGTATTTTCGATATGCATTATTCCGATAACGAGTGTGAAAGAGTTGCTATGGATATTAACGCCTTACAAACTTCTATTAATTACATAATTGTATCAGATACTTATTTTCTATCAGATACAGAATGTTTTCCTGCTATGCGTAATTTGTGTTCAACGATCCTCGCTGAAAAATCCAGGCTAAAATCGAAAAATACATTTGCTACAAACACGCGACTATATTAAATCGTAACCGCAATTTGTATCAGAATCGTGACTCGACATAGTAAAAGTAGTTAACGCAAACTCGATGAGAACAATATTAGCTACTTGCAATTCGTTTCGTTTTTCGTTTACATTAAAATGGGATGTAAAATAAGGAACTATATTGTAATCGATGTATCTTGAATTATCCTGCATCTGGCGAATATTATGAAAACGGGAACGATTTATAGCGCGAAAGCGGTAATGTAACCGCGCTGGAGCCGCCTCGTGATCCGACCATGTACCTTCTCATTCCACTTGAACGTTCTTTCGAATGTCTGCCGCGGCTTCGCTACCGATTTTACCAAAAAAGAATCTTCTCTCTTGAAGAAAAAAAAAAAAAAAGAAAAAGGGGAAAGGAGAAAGGGGAAAAGAAAAAAGGCAAACGCAGAAAAACGATGTTTTATGGCTCCATTTCACGGGGGGAACTTTGTAACTTATAAAAATGACCGAAAGAGAGATCGATGAACAGCAGAAGGAACGACGAAAGTTGTTCGTTATCACGAGCCGCTCGTAAACGTCTCCCTGTGAAAAAATACAGGGACGCGTGAGTTACACGCGAGACGACGAGGGTAGCATGGGAGGAATAAGAGGGATGGCGACCCTTCTTCCGTGGATCCGATACTTAGCCCAGACTTTGTACGTCTTCTGACGAAGAGGGAGCGGAGAGAGAGGAAACAACGTGGCTGTACGTTCTGGCATGCGGCGCTGTAAAACACGCCGTGGGACCATGCTTTTTCCACGACGTTTCGCGCGATGAAAATAGCTCGACTTGCCAGGGGCACCAGATACATCTAGACCTTCTGAGCGGAAAATTGAAAGGACCAGCCCCGCTCTCTCTTCGCTCGCCTGCACTTTTTGACACTCTTTCAAGCCGCGCGATTAATTTCAACGCCGCTATCGGCATGCTTTTTCGTAGGCCGCGAATCGAGATTTTTATGAAATGTAAAATTAAATTTTCGAGAATGTATATCGTGGCAGAGGAAAAATAGAAAATTAATACTTGTGTAGATACCCGAGAATTTGTAACTTATCTATTCAACCTATCATACGAAACTATCACTTTAATTAATATTACCGATCGTATCTGTTCATTAGTCTTACTGAATAGATGTCGATAGATATAGATTTAATTAAATGTCTATTAATGGATATTAATATAATAAATGGGTTTTGATAGATACTAATCAATGTGATAAGACATTCAGTAGAGAAGTTAGTAATTCTCACGTATGCACATACGTATCAATAAGTATCACAAGACTGTGAAATACTATTTCGTTTCGTAACATTATGGTAGTTTCTGTATCGTTCTCTTTAGTGGAAAGATGATTTATTATTTCTCATAGAAGAGTAGAAAGTATTTGTCTTTTCCTTGTTTCAACAAATATGTCCCTGAAGAGATTAGGAAAAGGTATGTGCTACCATTTGTAGTATTAAAAAATTATAATATAGAAATACAATGATATTATCATTTATTATATTATGAGAGTATAAAATAAATTCTGAAAAAGTAATATTCTGAGAAAACTGATATGTGTAAGTTTCAAACGAAAGGAAACGTGTTATTAGCAGTTGGCTGAATCTGGGCTGTTAAAAATGAGCATGATGGTCGAAGTGGTTACCGTGTATGAAGGATGGGTTAAAATTCAGCATTGGAAACCGTATTTTCGAAGACTGCAGTGGTGGTGTCTGTATGTGCTCTCCGAGCTGGCGGTGAATCTTTCCTGACATTTTCTAATTCAACTTCTGGAGATTTCCGCAATGTATGAAATGCTCCTACAGCGATGAGGCTTACAGTCCCGATTCCAAGTTTTACACAAGATAGTGGACATAATGGGCATTACGCATACACAGCAAATAACCAATCAATATCAATTAATTTTACGAGAAGAATCAAACTTGAAAACCAATTACCAAGTAACGCCAATCTCGATATTAACCGTTTGAGTCCCAGGGGTCTTTGAGAAAACAGGGTTGAAAAATCCCGAACAGCGCAATAGCGCTTGTCTTAATCGATTGCGAAGAGAAACAAGCGACGCAATAGCGCTCGTCATATTTGTTATTTTATGAAATAAATCTATATTATTATATATGCGTACTATTAGTTCATAAATATTTCAAGTTTTGTGCAATAAAAAATATTGTTCAAATGTACTGGGATTTTTCGACACAAAATCTAAACAACGCGATCGTGCTGCTTGGAGCTCAAACGGTTATAACTATCCCCCAAATTATCCGTATATAAAATTTGTACCAAAAAAATATATACAAAAGTATATATACATAATTTTAGTATAGACACAATAAAATGAAAGTTATCTCTAGAAGTTCACTTATTTCTATTTACTGCAAAACCACGAATACCTACTCGATTCAACTCTCTCTTATCACAACCCCTAAAGAAAACTCAGACTGGAAATCCAACCACCAAACAACGCATAACCTCAATCCTAAACTCTCCCAAGGCTCGGCAACCGATACATCCACCCTCCCGAATTTACATACAATTCCATCGAATCAATGTTCCTCCAAGACCTGATCGTTCCGTCGAGAATCACACTCGACTAAATCCCCTACGTTCCAGCCAGCGAACGTTTTTCAAACGAAAAACCAGAACTTCTTTTCGGCACATAGTGAATTTATACCTTGTTTTAAATAAAACGTGATAATTTCTGACGAGTAGAGTGTAAAAATCTTTGTTTTACAGCGTGCAGATTATTATTTTAAAAGTTCCACGTATATAAAATTTATGCAATGTATGTAGTATTTATTGTAATATTACACCTACCGTCCTTTTTTGTTTACTAACGCACCTCTTTCAATCACCAATTGTTTCTGTTGGTTTGTTAATATTCTAATATTAATGTCGTTTATACTATTAATATCCATGAGATTTACTATCGTTAATGTCCATCATTTATCAGTATTAATAATTTGGATCGCAAAATACCAAAATTTTCTTCAATATTCAGTATTTCAGTATCGATTGCGATTAATACAGTATTACTAAGATATGGAACAAAATTTAGTAAGATTTAACAAGACGAATGTAGTATCGTGGATGAAAGGCCTAAGAGATATCGGGCGAACCATACACAATGTCGCGAGAAAGCCAAAGTGCTGGCGTGCCCACCAATGTGACGTTGGTTCTTCAATGGAATAGTTTCGTGAAAAAGGCCTACGTGACCCTGGCCATGAGCGGTTGCGGAACACGTGCGTAGTGGGGCTAAGACAAAAGGTGAAGGGATGCTAAGGAAGAAAGACGAATTAACAGTCAGTGTTAATTGAGAAGCAGAGAGTGTGGATTGAGAAGTCAGGGAGATAGTGTTGCTAGTGCTGTCGAGAGAGAGTGGTCCGCGTGAGAGAGAGCGTTGGATCCGTGGTGATGAGAGTTGCAAATTAACTAATTTAGTTGTCCAAATTACAGTACGTTATTGTATTTAGTTCACGTTAAACAACCATCGTTTTCTGTTTAATCAACATCTGTTTAATCCATTCATTGTAAATAAATTAATTGTAGTATAAGATCCTACACGAATATAAAAATAATCGCTAATAACAGTAATAGTCGATCCGGCTTTAAATAAAGTAAATAATAACAGTAATAATAATATAATTACTATCGATACTTGACGTTATTGACAATATTGTTGACCGTGTACGGCCTCAAAAACATTGAAACGGATAGACGATATTATTATCAATATTACCAATCGCGCACGAGCCCTTTTCAGGAAAATTCTCAAAATTCAGAAATTCCACAGGTTCCGAAAGTTCATCAAACCGAAAGAATTTGTTTCTCGAAACCCTTTTCGACAGACTCCGCGTATGGGTGCTTTTTATCCCATGTCGTTGGAACGACGTAACTTCGTGGCGAAACGCGCGCGTGCCTAACGAGCAGGCAAGTTCGAAGGTAGAGGAGCAGTCCTCGCGCTCGTTTCGCTCGACAAACTCGTGGACGACCGCCGATGCGAGGGTAATTTACCGAATAAGTTGGCAGTCGTGCACGGGGACCGTTGTAATTGCACGACACCGTTTTTCCAACCCTCGGAGCAGGTCTCGTTTTCGACCTAGTGAGAACGAGGCCCGTCGGGCGTCATCCCTTCTTTACCAAGTTATGTAATGTCCTCCGGGTAACAGCTTGCTTACAAGTTTTTGGCCAAGCCTTTGGGTAGTTTATAATCCTGCCGCAGGAATAACTGTGGTTAACTACGCGGACACACCGGCCAGAAGTTGTTGATCCTTTCGTGTGGTATAATGTCGCGGAATTAAGTGTCGCTGAATTTTTGTTGAGAGTATGGGATTACAGAGGAGAGTTTAAGCCTTGTTCCTCTGGACTTTGGCGGTCGTAGGTTTATCGTTAGGTGACCATGGCAATGTCTTTTTTTATTTACTTTTCATTCGAAAATTTTTATATAATAAAAGAGGCAACGAAGTGGATTGAGTTAATCTTATGAGGATTATGTAGAAATTCTTTGTTTTTTAATTATTCTTAACCTTTGTTCATCTTTATATATATTTTTTTTTCATTCGTCTATAATTCTGCGGATTTTTCGTCACTTTAGAGATAATTTGGATTAAAATTGATTTATAACGAAATATCGAAAATTGATTTATAGTGGTATAGGTTAGTTTTGAAGAAAAGTGTTGTTTTAGAGACTTTCGTTGTTTTATTCTAGAGAGTGATTTATGGAGCAGCATACATAGACGGAATTTGAGTTTTTAGTGTGATGTATGTTATTTCTTGGAGCTGTTTGTTTCATTCGAATTTTGGATGTACTTGTTGGAGAATATTCAGAATTATGTCTCAAGAGATGTTAGTGCTACATTCACGAAGATGTAGTTCTTTTTCAATTCAAATAGGAAGACAAAAACAGAATGGATATTATTACAAATTCGTTCCACGAGTGTACACTCTGAGAAAAAGAAAGAAATAATTATTTTGTTGCCTTAATAAAAATTCATGCTCGAAAAAGTCAGCGAACGTACGAACGAAACAAGAATTTTTCAAACTACTTTGTAACTATGCATTTCAATAAACTGTTTCGAAAAGAACAATCGAATTACTTGTTTATGTATGTTCCGTTTGTCTCTATACACTTTTGCCACCGGATTGGTAATTTTTTCATTTCAGTTATGTGAAGCTAAGAGACCCAGAGGGCGTTAGGTCAGAAGCCAATTGCACACGAATTGCTCTACTTTTTCGTTGCTGTTGAACCGTTGTCCTCCTAACGACTATTTAAGTAGTCGTGATTTTGAGGAACTTTACGCTCTTTCGAATGATGAGGACCACATTTCCATTGCTAATATCAACTTTCGAACAAATTTCGTTTATTGTTTCGCGTCGATTAGTTTCCCAACAGCTTTACAATGTTTGCTGGCTTTACGCTTGTCTTGAGGCGTTGCGGTTGCGATGTGTTTTCAATGTTTTGACGTTCACTGAAAAACAATTTACGCCACGCAAATGTTTGGGTTCTTGATGATGTTTCATTCCTAAACTGTAGTCGCAATATCTCTAAAATTTCAATGGGTTTTGTGCCCTCGTGTTTCTGCCTTTTTAACTTAGTTAAAAACATAAAAATTGTACGTTGCCCAACGGACGACGGTAGCGCTCTCTCACTCATTGTGTTAATTATTAAAAAAACGATAAATAGATCATTGCGTGGAGTGGAACGTTAATAATTGACCAAACTTCTTATCTTTAGAAATATCGATTATATCCTAAAATTAGACTATTTTGTTCGAAAATGACTTATTTATAAAACGTGACGTCAACGGCTGACGCAGTTAAAGTCTACAACTAACAATCTCATAAATCATAAATACGTAGTCTGAAAAAAATCACTCAACGTACAAACCACAGCTTTTACCGCAAAAGGAAAACAAGAGCGTTGAACAGCAAGATAGATCGGCCGTATCACTTTCGACAGACACGCGAATAGCAACGATACCCGAGGAAATTCACGGTACAATGGAAGCGAAAACCCTCGGCAAGAATTTTCGGTTTCAATTCAGGATTCCGTGTTATGTGGGTCAGCGGTACAAGCGAACGGAGAAAAAAGGAGGGTGGAAATAAAAGAAAGCAGGGAAAAGGCGGAGGGAAATTCGTGTTACACGTTCGAGAGATATTCAAACGAGACTGATGCAACGTGTAAGATCATTGGATCCGCGTGTGCAAAAGAAACAGGCATAGCAAAGTGAAAAAGAAGAAAGATGAAGAGACGGGAAGACGTTTGAAAAGAAAGGAAGTCGAACGCCGTGGAACGATACGCGACGCTCGACGAACCGGCGGCTTTGAATAGAAAATAATCGAGGGCTCCGCGGAGAATAACAGGTAAGTGGTATAAGGCGACGCGAAAAAGATACCGGAGGTAGTCACAATGCCATCCCTCGAACGCCCCGGTTATCGTGTCTGGTTTTTTCAACGAAAAGACAATACCCTCGCATTGTTACGGGGCGAAGAATCAACCGCTGTGAAGAGTCGATGGCTCTGATGACTCTGAACCTTCGTCACCCTTCTTCCTGCCGTGTTTCAGGGACTAACGGAGACTCGCTCGGGACTCGATGTCGCCCACGGTGCCTCTAAAGGCCAGGTAAATTCAGATTTACAAGGGTGGGAACGTGTTATAAAGTAACGGTTGAGGAACTGAAAAACTAAGAAGAGGAAATCTATCGTTTTCTTGAACGGATGTTTGCGTGGTTCCTTAATCGTGTGCATTATATGTAATCATTTATAATCGTGGTAATTTGTAATTCCACTGATTGTACTACTTACATATACATACTACATGTACTACTTACGTATACATTATGTTAAATTACCTAATCAGTTCTATTTTAAGCAATATTCTACGTAAAATTTCGTTTACTCTGCAACATATTTGCAAACTATCTTAGAAAATAAATAGAGCAACTATAGTCGTGCATAAAACACAAAACGGTGCTGAAATGGTTAAATTGTCACAACAGCGAGCTCCTAGAAGCCAAACAAATCATTATCATGGAAGAGAACGAATATTTACATTAGAAGCAAGAGAAATTTTATTCTCCTATCGATAAATGCTCAAAAATTCGGAGTTTCAAGTTCAATTCGAATTCAAAGATTCGAAGTTTCTCGATGCAACCATCACGTTACACGAGCTATATAACGAAAATAGCCGCAGAAATTATTCCATGGGGAACACGAACATTTACTTGCCCGCAACAATGGCGACGAAAACGTCCTGACTGGGAGATCAAGGGGCAACAATGGCCGCGCGACGTCGGCCCAACGTTTGGCCCTTTAGCCGAGGAAAACAATACGGCCACGTAGAACTGCAGACAAGAAGAACGTTTCGCCGCACACGTTCACGCGTGTAAGCTTCAAGAATATATCGAGGTTCACGGAAAGCTCGTTCTGCTTGTACGGGGCGTACGAGACCGAAGGAAATTGCTGGTACGCCGCTTCTCACTCTCGCTGGTCGCAAAAAGAGCACGTTGTTTCGACGTAAGGAATAAGAACGGCGACGTTGTTACCAAGAGGTGAACGGCTTCGTCTTTCCCTTCGCAGAGCATCACGGACGAACCTTCGTCTAAATTTATTAGATTTCCTGCCGTCACGACATAAAGATAATTTCGCAACGCGTTGCTTCGTTAAACGGATAGAAGCTGCAATGGAAGATATTCCGTGGATCGTCCGTGGATCGTAGTTTTGGAACGTAGGATTTTCGAATTTATTCACCTGCTAGCACGATATTATCTAAGTCCATTGCTTGTATCGATCGGACACGTTGAGACAAATACGAAAAGCGATGTACCTTGTACGTTGTATTATTTGAAAACCACACGAGAAAGTTTTATATTATTTGGTGGAGAAGAACACGTTCTAATAAAAGATATAGCTGCAGCGAAACAGTCAATATCGAAGGTGATTGTACTGTATAGATTAAAATTAGTGACAATTACTAGCTTTCTGGTATTTTTCTAGTCAATTTTCTGGCCAAAAGTACGAAATGGCTAAATATGTGTATTAAGATCCCTTACCTGTTTAAGTTTTGTAGGCAAATTAGAACAAACTAATCTCATTTGAAGCAAATCAATGAATGCAAATATTAGCTTCGTTAAAGGAGACGGATTAGCTTCGTACGGAATTTCATTTCCACGGAACAAGAACACTTTCAAGCAAACATAGGAAGAGATACTTCTGAAACAAGCAGGTATTTCATTCGTAACACGATTCTCGATCCGGGAAATCGGTAGAACCATAAGGATCACGGCTAGTAATTTTCAACGATATTCGCCGCGAAGCGGTGAAATTTCATTTTGCGAGATTTCAATTCCTCACGGCGAGGAACTTCGATTGCTTTCATCGGGGTGCAACTTCCGCTGGAATATGTCTCTATTTATGCCACCACTTTCATTCGTTCTCCGA